CACTGTGGTGAAAAAAGACCTCGTACTTTAGGAGCTGAGGAGTTGGTGTTACCGCCAGTTAATGCTTGGAGAGGGCATTTTGTTGCTGGTGTTGATAGGATGCAAAATGGCGGTTCGGTGTTTGATGTTCTTGATAGTACCTTGGTCGTGGAGAAGGTTATGGGTTTCCCGACGGAGTTTGACTCGACTCGTCTCGCCGGAAAACCGCTGGATGATAAGATCGAAGGGTTGGCTGCATCCTTTGCTCGGGTTAGCACCGTATTCGCCGCACTTATCTATTATGTATTTATTTATGTTTTTATATGTTAAATACTTTTTTTAGGCTATTACTTTCGTGCCCTTGATTATTGATCGTGGCAGGGGGTTGGAGGCTGAGCATGCCAAGATGCAGGCAGAGAAATTGAATGTTAATTCGTTGTATGCGGGTGTTCAGAGTGTCAATGCCTCCCTTCGCTCAGTGATTGAAAGTTTGAAGAAGTTTCTTAAAGAAGAAAAAGGGAAGCTGAGTGCCTTGGAGAAAAAGTGTCCGAGTTTGTCAACTCGATCGGATGAGGAAAAATCGAGTCGTTTGAAGGCCGAAGCTAAGGTTAAGGATCTAAGCAAAACTTTGGAGAACGAAAAGATCGTCGCTCTTTCTTTCATGGAAGCTCATAGGGGGTCGGATGACGTCTTGAAGACGTGTTTGGGTTTGATGGTGGTTGAAAAGTTCTTAGGGAGCGAGTCTTATACCGAGATTCGGGATAATTATGCTAGTGGGTTATTTGCAGAGATCGTGTGGGATATTCGTGTTCAGGTTCGTGCTACGAAGCTTGTCCTAGAGGCTATCTTACGGGAGATAGAGCCAAGCATTTTGGACCTGGGTGAGGGTGATTCGTTTGACGAGTTGCTTGAAGCTGCTGGAGCTAAAGACTGAGTGTTGACCCAACTGCCTAGTAGTGCAGTCGTTTATTATTTTATACTCGCTTGAGAGTAGTAGTATTTCCTTTATAATTTATTTTTAACACTTTTGTTCTTTTTTTTTTTTTTTTTTTTTTTTTTAACTATTTGCACGTATTTGCTTTATAAATGGACTTTCATTTTTATGTCCTTTCAATTTCGCAGTTTCGTACTTTTTGGGACTTAGTGGTTGTTCAATCCCCTAAGTTGCTATGGAGAGGCTCCGCAATTTTGCCATTTTCGTAATTTAGCGTTGCGGTGTCCTTGAGAATTTGATTTATCTATTAATTTAAGCTTTGGAGAGTGAGAAAACAAGGTTCAAGTTGGCCAGACCCTTATGACCCTTGTTATCTTCCGTTTTAGCTGTATTCAATGATTTTTATTTTTTTTTAGGTGTCGTGAGGTCACTCATAGATCCAAGTACTGCATAATAATAACAAAAATAATCATGAAATTATAATAGAATAAAATATTTAATTGAAATCTCATATAGTAGAACGGTTGTGGATTGCGGTGGGCAATATGCCTCCAGTTAAAGCATTTTATTTAAACTTTATGTGACGAGCGGTATGCCCCCAACTTATTACATAATTTAAAGCACTCCGGCGAGCGGTATGCTGCCGACTTATTACATAGTTTCAGCATTACAGCGAGCGGTATGCTCCTGATTTACTATTGAAAAATGATAACCCAACGAAAAAGGTGCATCTAAGGTGCTAAGCAAAATATTTCTTAAAGTTCCCTATGTTCCAAGTCCTTGGAACTTGACGTCCATCCGTATGCTGAAGCCGGTATCCCCCGGCATTGACCACTTGAGTAACCTTGTATGATCATTCCCATTTTGGGTTCAACTTCCCTACAGCATTTGAGATCCCGACTTTTCGAAGCACCAAGTCTCCTACTTGAAATGATCTTGGTTTGACTCGTTGGTTATAGGCCCGCGCGATTCGAGCTTTGTAAGCCTCCATTCGTGTAGAGGCGCCTTCTCTAACTTCGTTCACGAGATCCAAACTTGTTCTTATCGCCAAATCATTGTGTAGGATCGAGTAGCTGGATATTCGCCATGATTGTTGCCCTATTTCGGCTGGAACGACGGCTTCCATCCCATAGGCGAGATTGAAAGGTAATTCACCCGTGTAAGTTCGGAGAGTGGTACGATAATCCCATAATACGCTAGGGAGCTCCTCAACCCAGGCGCCCTTTGCCTCTCCTAATATAGCTTTGAGGTGTTGCAAAATGGTGCGGATTGTAACCTCAGTCTGTCCGTTAGCTTGAGGGTTTCCTACTGATGTGAAGAATTGCTTGATTGATGGCCCTTCACACCAGTCCGCGACCTTGCTTCCATAGAATTGAGTTCCGTTATCGGATATTAAGGCTTGTGGTATCCCAAAATGCCATACCACATTCTTCCATAGAAACCGAATGACGTCAACTTCAGCTATTTTAGCCAAGGGCTGGGCCTCCACCCACTTGGTGAAATAGTAAACCGCCACGATTAAAAAATTTCGTTGTCCACTAGCTTGTGGGAGCGGCCCCACAAGGTCTATCCCCCATTGAGCGAAAGGAACCGGGCTGTCAATTGGTTGGAGAAGAGATCCAGGTACATGAGTAATGTTAGCGTGTATTTGGCAAGCTCTACATTTCTCCACTAACTCTCTAGCGTCTTGCTTCATCGTTGGCCAGAAGTATCCTTGGCGTAATGCTTTGACAGCTAGGGCTCACCCTCCTAGGTGGTTGCCAAATTTCGCGGAGGACGTATCTTGCTTCGTCCGGTCCGAGATATCTTAAATAATGTACCGAGAAACTTCTCTTGCATAGCTCCCCCCCGATGAGTAGGAATCGAACGGCTTTTATTTTTAATTTTCTCGCCGCTGCTCCGTCCTGGGGTAATTCTGACATAGAAAGATACATTATTATCTCGTCCTTCCAACAAGGAGTGTTGCTAGTGCAAAGGATTTGTGTGCTCATTTCTATCTCAGGTTTAGTGGATGAAAGAAAGGTGATCCTACGACTGTCGAGCTTTGACATGGAACTCGCTAAACGAGCTAACTTGACTACCATGGCGTTTTCGGCCCTAGGTATTTGCTTGACTTCCACATTCTCGAAATTCGCCATGAGACATTTGACGAACTCGAGATATTTAATCATATTTTCTTCTTTGGCTTCATATGTTCCTAAGACTTGGTTTACTACTAGTTGGGAGTCACTGTACCTCACCAACTTCTTGGCTCTAGCTGCCTGAGCTAACATCAAACCAGCTACAAGGGCTTCGTATTCCGCTTCATTATTTGAAGCCGGAAATTCTAGCTTCAGTGCGTACTCTAAGGCATCGCCTTCGGGACTCATGAACTAGATTTCTGCCCCACTGCCCCCCCGTAGTAGAGGAACCGTCTACATGAACTGTCCATGTTGGGGTAGAACATGTAGATTCGCTAAATGTCATTTCAACAAGAAAATCCGCAAGGACTTGTGCTTTGATTACCGGACGTGATCGGAATTCTATCCCATATTCGCTCAGCTCAATTACCTATTTTGCCATCCTCCCTGATGTTTCAGGGCTTTGGAAAAAAAAAATTAAGAGGGAAATTTGTCATCACTACCACCTGGTGTGATTGGAAGTAAGGCATCAGTTTTCACGCGGTCGTGATTAATGCTAAGGCCAGTCGTTCTATGTTTGAATATCTTTGTTCAGCTCCCCGTAGGGCACGACTGATGTAGTAGATAGGTTGATGCCCTCGTTCGCCTTCGATCACTAAAATTGTGCTGATTGTCTCTGACGTAGTTGCTAAGTACAATAAAAGTTCATCTCCTTCCCTTGGTTTGGTCAAGAGGGGTGGCGATGCTAGGTATTTCTTCAGCTCCTCGAATGCCTTTGGACACTCTTCTGTCCACTTGAAATCCTTCCCGTCCTGCAGCACTCTGAAGAAAGGAAGTCCTTTGTCTGTTGAGCAGAAAATTAATCGGTTTAGTGCTGCCAAACAACCATTCAATTGTTGGACGTTTTTTATGGACTTGGGCGGGGCCATGTTGATCAGGGCATCAATCTTAGCTGGGTTTGCATTGATTCCTCGCTGTGAGATCATGTAACCTAGGAATTTGCCACCGTTCACCCCGAACGAGCATTTCGAAGGATTCAAATTCATTTTGTATTCCTTGAGAATAGCAAAGCACTCTTCGAGGTCCTTCAAATGGTTTTCGGCCTTGGCGCTTTTAACTACCATATCATCGATATACACCTCCATGTTACGCCCAATGAGTTTGGCGAACATAGTGCTCACGAGTCGTTGATAAGTTGCACCGGCATTCTTGAGGCCGAATGGCATTACCTTATAGCAGTATATGCCTTAGTCGGTAATGAAACTTGCCTTCTCTTGATCTTCAGGGGCTAGATGGATTCGATTGTACCCTTGGTATGCGTCTAGAAAGCTTAACAACTCACATCCCGAGGTTGAATCCACAAGCTGATCATCCTTGGGAGAGGGAACGGGTCCTTAGGACAAGCTTTGTTTAGGTTGGTGAAATCCCCACATAAGCGCCACTTTCCCCCCGATATCGATACTAGGACAACATTTGACAACCATTTAGGATATTGGACCGGGCATATTTGTCCAGCCGCGATGAGCTTATCAACTTCCGCTTTGATGTGTTTATTACGTTCTGGTCCAAAAGTCCTTTTCTTTTGCTATACTAGCCTGGGTTTCGGGTCAACGTCAAGCCGATGGACAATTTTAGATGGAGGAATACCTTCGAGATCTTTTGCTCTCCATGCAAAAACATCACCGTTTTTTTCGGAGAAAATCTACGAGCTTCGCTTCCGCTTTGGGCTCAAGACTGGTTCCCACTCGGAGTAGTTTATCTTTGCCCGGGATCAACTCTACACTTTTCAATTCTTCTACTGATGCGAGTCTCGTGCTGTCGGCTTGTTGATCGGTCGAGGGGGTGATGAGCTCGTCTTTAACGGCCATCACCCATTTTCTCTTTAGAATATTGGGAGTGTCATCCCCTCCTCCCACTTGCTTTTTGTTCCGAAGTTGAGATGTTCTCAAGGTATTCACATAATATTCTTAAGCTACGCGTTGATCAGCTACGGCTTCTCCAATTCCGCTAGCTGTAGGAAATTTCAGCATCATATGATATGTTAATGGGATTGCTCTAAAGAGGTTCATAGTTGCCCACCCCAAAACCACGTTATATGTAGATGGTGCCTTGACGACCAAGAAGTTAACCGTGTTTGTTGCATGGCATGCGAATGAGCTCAAACACAAGACTAGGGAAATTTCTCCCACAACTTCGACGGTGTGTCCTGTAAAACCCACTAGGGGCGTTTTCACGGGTGCGTGTTTCGCATTGGCTATCCCTAGTTTTTCGAAAGCTTCGTAATATATAATGTCAGTCGAGCTACCACCGTCTACCAAAATATTCTTCACTAAGTAATTGGAAATTGATGCAGAAATGACCAACACATCGTTGTGCTCACCACGTGGCCCCTCGAGATCGTCGTCGCTAAATGCAATCTACGAGTTAGGGTGGCGAACATGGTAAACATGTCCAGCTGGACGTTTTAACGTAGAGTATGATCCTCTTCCTGCCCGCATTGGTGCTCGTCGTGCGCTGGGGGTGTCACCATTCGAGGGTCCTTCGGAAATGACCGTGATTATTTGAGTCGGAAGATTATCATCCTCCCGATCTTTTTGAGGATTGGGACGTTCTCCTTTCTGTTGGAAATGTGGTTTATTTTTGAATTTCTGGTGTCGCAGGGTATCCACGAATTCGCCAAGGTGTCCCTTCTTAATTTGTCCCTCGATTTCTTGCTTAAGTTGGAAGCATTCGTCGGTGGCGTTGCTCCGATCTCGATGGTATTCGCAGTATTTATCTGATTTTTGCGTTTTCGGATTTTCTTTCATCTGTCGCGGGGGTTGGACTAAACCTTTCTGTTCTGCCACCATCAATACTTCCATGAGTTTTGCTTTTAGGGGAGTGAACTTTGGGTAGGTAGGGGCGTGGTTTGAGCGTCCTTCTTTCTTTTTTGTCTCATGGTGTTCTTCTTCGCGTTTCCTTTTCACGGGGAGCCCCATCTCCACGGCCTCCTCTATCCGGATAAATTTCTCAGCGCAGTTCAGATGTTCCCCCAGTGTTTGTGGGGGTCGGCCTGCGATGGATTCTTAGAAGCGAACATGCTTCAAATTATGCTGCAGTATGTAGGCTAGCAGGTAGGGGTTACCATTGGGCACCTCGTTCACAGCTTTGACGAACCGTTGTACATAATCTCTTAGCGGTTCTCCTTCACGTTGTTTGACTTTGAAGAGGTATGATCCAGTTTTGGCGTATCTCTTGTTGATGGAATACTGGCTAAGGAACCGTTCTGATAGCTAGTTCAGACCATCCAGGAATCCTCCAGGCAGACCGTTGAACCAAGTTTGTGCTTGACCAGTCAACGTAGTTTGGATAATTTTGCAGTAGGCGGCGTCGCTTAGGCCATAAAGGTCGATCTTAGTGAAAAAAAAAATTAAGTGACTCTGGGGATCTCCGGTTCTATCAATTTGGGGTAGATTGGGGATCCTAAATCCGAGCGATAGAACTTCTTCCATAATGGCCGGAATAAAGGGGCTTGTCCGGGCAGGGAATGTTCTAAAACGAGCAGCTATTGATCTCGAAGGTTCTTGCCGTGGGCTTCTTGAAATACGATCATTAAAGTCCTCGCGATGCCTTCTCGTCTCTTTAGGTTGAGAATATCTACTTCCATGTTCATCTCGAGGGGAGTTTTCAGGGCGGTAGGAACGTCCGCGGTGTCTATTGTCTCGTGGCTCATGGCGTGGGACACCCGGCCGAGAACATCCACTTCTCTCTCGGCGGCTTCGCACCACTCTCTCCTTAAAAGAACCCGTTGCCTCAGGGGGCGTGGTGTTCGACCACGTGCTTTTCTTTGAGGGGCCTGGTCCGAGGCTGAGCTATGCTGATGCGACTGTGGCTGAGCGTATCTTCGGGGAGCTCGTTCCAAAGAAAGGCTTTGGTCACTGAGCGACACTCTTTCCTCAGAGTCGTGGAGCTCCATGATTGGCGGGGTCATATGGACGTGAGCGGGATCCTTAGGATCGTATTCTGATAGAATCGGCTCTTCAAAATCACTAACGCCTTGAGCGTTGATGTATTGAGCTACTGCGTCCGTTGCCGCCCAAGTCGCTGCTTTGGCTGCGGTCTCCTCCATCATGGCTTGCAATTCTTCCGCCGTCATCTGTATGATCGGCGTTGAAGGTCCCGCGGGGTTGGTCACTCCCGCCGTTCTCTTACTTCGAGGCGGATCTAGGATCCCGCCGACTCCTTGATGAGGCGGATTAAGTCTACCTTGACCACCTCCTCCCGCCGGCGCCAAAATGATGCTGCTCAAGTAAGAATTGTACAACCCAATAGTCTTTGAGCCCGCAATGATAAAGAATGTCGAAGGTCACTGCTAGGTGTCTCGAAGTAGTCATTGAGACCGTTCCACTCTTTAACCTTCAAAACAGTTAAAAACACTATGTGACACGCCGGGGGTGGCCCAGCGATTGTCCTCTGACGCTCAAGTTAGAAAACTATCACAATATAAGAAAGTAATATTAATTAATTGCCTAAATAGTGCGTACATTGTTATGTGAATTATAACACATATTTATAGGTGGAGATTGATGTGGTTTTCTTGTATAAAACCAATGTGGGACAAGAAACATTAGATTTCTTCCATAAGCTTTTTATGAATTAAGGGTCTTTGTATTAGGCTTTCCCTTTTAACGAGCCTCTTGGGCTTTTTGGGTTAAAGCCCAACTAGGCACATCACTCTCTATTATTATATTTACGTTTATGCATTACATTGATCCACAATCACCAAACCAAAGAGCTAGATTAAATATGTCATTTTACAATATGTTATTGTTAAGTGTATATTTTTACACTCAATTATATCTTTTCATTGGAGCTTTTGGTGTATTTTATTGATAATTGGTGCTTAAAGTGTTGATCTATTGTGTTTCATGAACCAATTGAAGAATTGAATAAATAGAGGGTCAAAACTGCAATTTAGAAGAAAAGGTGGGTGTTAAGTGTATATTTTTACACTTAATCGTACATTTTAATTGGAGCATTTGGTGTGTTTTATTGATAATTGGTGCTTAAAATGTTGATTTATTGTGTTTTAGGTATAAATTGAAGAATTGGATAAATAGGGGGTCAAAACTCGATTTTGGATAAAATATGGGCGAAAAGTGAAGAAGTTCAAAACCTGAAGAAATATAACCCGGACGGCCGTCTGAGAATACACTTAAATTCAGACGGCCGTCTAAGAAACTGAGGCAATCTCTGCTTTTGAGACGACCGTCCGAGTTTTAGTACAAAATCTCAGACGGCCGTCCGAGAAGGCGTAAAGCAACAGTAAATGAATCAAAATTGCACAACGAAACTACCTTCTTCTTCAAGTTTTCTACCCTATATAAGACCAAGTCAAGCACACAATTGGGCATCAATCTTTTACGCAATTTCAAGAGCAACGAAGCAATAACGAAAACGAAGAATTCGAAGACGACAATCATAGTTTATCTTTTCATGAATTGTTATTTTGTTTTTACTTTAATCATGAGTAGCTAATTTATTTACTTATAGGATTTTATTTCGAACCCTGTGTGGGATTTATGAACCCAATTCTATGATTTTATGCAAGTTTTAATTCCGGATTATTTCTTCTACTTGTTTCATTGAGTGCATGAACTTGATCACCTTATGTGCTTTTATGTTATTGTTAATCGCATGGAAGATCGAGTTAATAATTAGAACTGTGGTAGAAGAGCCTTTGTGGTATTAACATAGGAATATAGTTAATCTCTTAGGTAGCCATTATTGAGATTTATGTTTAATGTTGTATTCTAGAATTAATTGCGTAGGAATACAATAATTGAATCTAGAGTATTAGAATCGTAATACACGCGGAAGCGGGTTATGATTAATTTAGCATCTCAGGTTAATAATCCGGGTTAATTACTTGCATAATTGAAGGAATTAGGGGAATAATAATCATATAGGGGGAATAATAAAATCCTAGGCTTACTTTCTCTGGTTAAATCTTCGCTTTTAAGTGCTTTCTTGCTTTTGTCCTTTTTAATTTGCTTAATTTAGTTTATTAATCCTCTTTTTACTGTGTAGGGTGGGCTTGATAACAATTGGTAGGATTTAGCGTCTAGACTGTGGGATCGATACATGGACTTAAAAATCCACTTTATTACTTGTACGATACGTGCACTTGCGTGTAGGTATTATCACCAACAGTGGGCGAAAAGTGAAGAAGTCTAAATCCTGAAGAACGAGAGCCCACACGGCCGTCTGAGAAATACACTTGGATATTGGACGACCGTCCGAATATTCTTGTTGGAAGAACAAAGTCTTTGGAATTGAGACAGCCGTCTGGAATTATAACTGAAAATCCAGACGGCCGTCCGAGATGGCAGCGAGGCCCAGTAGGGGACTCCTGATTACACAAGGAAATTGTCTTTCCACCAAACATTTTACACCCTATAAAAGACCAATTCAAGCACACAATTAACGGATCATCTCTTTACGCAATTTCAAGAGCAAAGAAGCAATAACGAAGAATTTGATGACTCCAAGCATAGTCTTCTATGATTTATTTTAATTTTATTTTTACTTTAATCATGAGTAGCTAACTCTTTTAGTTCAAGGAATTTATTGCGAACCCTGTGTGGGATTTATGAACCCTTTTCCATGATTTTATGCAAGTTTTAATTCCAGATTAATTCTTCTATTTGTTTTATTAAGTGCATGAACTTGATCACTTTATGTGCTCTTATGTTATTGTTAATCGCATAAATTGGAAAATTGGGTTAATAATTAGAACTTGGGTAGAAGAGTTTTCGTGGTATTAACATAGGAATATAGTTACTCTCTTAGGTAGCCATTATTGAGATTTGTGCTTCATGCTGTGTTCTAGATTTAATTGCGTAGGAATACAATAATTGAATCTAGAGTATTAGAATCATAATGCACGCGGAAGCAAGTTATGATTAATTTAGCATCTCGAGTTAATAATTCGATTTAATAACTCGATAATTGAAGGAATTGGGGAATTAATAATTACATAGGGGAAAAATAAAATCCTAGGCTTGTTTTCTCTGATAAATCTTCGTCTTTAATTGCTTTCATGCTTTTTCTTGTTTAATTTATTTTAATTTCATTTAGTTTTGTTAGAATTTATTTCGTGCAGTTATAAATTATTTGTGTCAGATTCAGTTTTCGGTTACTGTTGCGTGAAGTGTTGCAACAGTTAGTGAAACAGTTTGTAAAAACAGAAATAAACGAGACACAAATTTAATGTGGTTCGGATACAATTGTACCCTACATCCACGAGGACCTGCAAATGAAATTTACTAATTTTTATTTTTACGAATACAATAGTAGGACTTAATCAAAATACAAAGACTCCTTCTTTGTTGACGCCGTTCTTGTATACTACGCTGAATTATAAATCTTCAATTTGCAGCACGTCCCTTGCTCCGCACGGTTGAACTCCCTTCAACGCTGAATCCCTCAGTCGGCGGATCGATCTCCTCCCAAGATCTGTTTAAGCCCATTTCCCGAAGAACCGATCTTCTTTTTGTATAGAAGAAGCAAACTTGTGATAATCCTTGAATCTTGGTGTCTTCACCACAAAGCCTTGAAGCCGATATATTTTCTATGAAAATCACGTATCACAATGGAGCAATAAAAACGAGAGGAAAAAATATTTTCTCTGAGAAACTTCTCTCGATAAAAACAACAAGGAAAAGAAAAATATGTTTCTCTCCAAAAAGGCACACAGATAATGATGCTTGAAGCCCTCTTTATACGTTCATAATTTTTCCTGCACAAGAAAATACAAATCTAATTAGATATGCTATTCATGTTAAGAAGAGTTGTATAGGAAAATACAACTAGATCATTCCTTATCTAAAAACTAATTCCCTTAACTATTAAAACACCAAGGAAATAAAATCCATTAGGTTAGGGATTCTTATTCACGTAGAAGACATAAGTTGTAAAATAAGAAAACTCTTTGTAT